GAGAAGGAAATGTAATATGTTTTGGTCAGTGTCGTCCTACATATGAAATAAGGGAAGGGAAAGACTGGTGATTAGAGAACTAAGGATTTAAGTCTGGTTTAGTTATCTTCGTGAAGAAATGCACTAATGTTGTTTCTTGATGCCAGTTTCGTCATAAAATATGAAATTAGCGGAAGGGAAAAGACTGGTGATTAGAACTGCAGGTTTGTTTGAGAGAAGAAATGTAGTAATATGTTTTGGTCAGTGTTGTCCTACATATGAAATTAGCGGGAAGGGAAACTGGTGATTAGAACTAAGGATTCGATGTCTGTTTAGTTATCTTCGTGAAGGAAATGGTACAATATGTTTTGATTCTAGTGTCGTCGTCAATATGAAATTAGCGAAGGGAAAGGGACATGGTGATTAGAACTACAGGTTTGTTTGATTATCTTCGAGAAGAATTTAAATAGTTTGTGATCAGTTGGTCGTGGTTCGTCAATATGAAATGAGCGAAGGAAAATGTGTATTAGAACTTTGCGGGTTAAAAGGTGCTTTTTAGTTATCCTCCCGTGAAGGAATGTACAGTTATGTTTTGCGTCTAGTGTCGTACGTCAATATGAAGTTTGTTAGGGAAAGACTGGTAATGTAGGAACACGGGTTTGTTTGATTTTCTTCCGTGAGCGAAGGGAAAGTAGTTTAATATGTTTGATCAGTGCTGTCGTTCGTCGTACAATATAAATAAGGGAGGGAAAGGACTTGGTGATTAGAAACTAAGGATTCGATGTCTGTTTTAGTTATCTTGCGGAAGGAAATTGTACTAATGTGTTTTTAATCAAGTGTCGTTCCTTACACATGATAATATTGGGAAAGGAAAGTCTGGTGATTAAGAACTGCGGGTTTAAGGTGCTTGTTGGTTTTATCTTCGCGTGAAGGAAATGGTAGTAATATGTTTTGACAGTGGTCGTCTGTCCATATGAAATTAGGGAGGGGAAGAGACTGGCGAGTTTTGTTGTGGGTTATCATAACGGAAGAATATGACGTCAGCTAGCGAAATCGGCGTGAGAGGTAGCCAGAGCCGATTCGTCATTGGAGGAAGGAGAGGGAGGGAGAGGGAGGGAGGGAGGGAGGGAGGGAGGAGGGAGGGAGGGAGGGGAGGGGAGTGGAGGGAGGCGGGGAGGAGGGAGGGCGGGTGAGGGAGGGAGGGGAGGGAGGGAGGGAGGAGGGGAGGTGGGATGGGGAGGGATAGGAGGGAGGGAGGGAGGGAGGGTTTTTAGGGAAGGAGGGAGGGAGGGAGGGAGGGAGGGAAGAAATGAGGGAGGGAGGGAGGGATGGGAGGAGGGAGGGAGGGAGGGAGGGAGGGAAGGGAGGGAAGGAGGCGGGGCAGCAGGTAAGGTGGGTTGGCGGCGGTTACGACTCCCCGACAAAACTGCAGGATGTCAGCACCGTAGACCCTCTCCTCCCACTCCGCCTTCCAGCCGTTCCCCCTCCCCTTCCCTCCTCCTGTCTCGAAAACTAGTCAAACCTAAATTCTTTCGTGAAAGGTCACATCTCTTTGCTTCCCCTCCCCTCCCCCACCTCCAGACTCCCTCCCACCGCCCGCCTCTGGACTTTGATGTCTCAGATCATGACCCGCGAAGGATCATCTGGGGCGATGCTGTCGGATTACGTCGTGTGATGAGGGAGAGGCTGTGGATCAAACGTATGTGACGTGTGTGTGTGGGTAGATGTTGTAGATGCTGTAGGATGTTGCTTTTCTGTCTACTAGAAGACCTAAGTAATCTACACAAAAGCAATCTACACATCTACAAAAACTACTACGTTTCACACACCGACACTTAATTGGACAAAATATCCACAGGGAGACATAAACCGTAAGAAACAATTAGAAGGACGTTTCTTACTGACCCTCGAAGTATCCCGACGGTCGAGTCAGGCAGCGCCAGCCGGGCTCTCCCCCCCCCCCAAGAGACAGAAAAGGACCTCAAAAAGACGAACGTCGTGAGCGGAAGTATCCATATAAGGAGTACAGTTAAGTGCGGCGGATGAGGAGTAAACAATGAACGACGGCAGTTTGTGGAGTGTGAGGACTCGACCTTCGATCTCGGACACCGCGCCCTCAACCGCGTAGACGCCAAGCTAGAGACAGAGTCGCATCGAACGCGCACAAAGGTAAGGGAAGAAGTCGCAGGAGAATCCAAGAGGCCGAAAAGTCGCAGGTAGGTCGACTGTTTGTGTTCGTGTAAGACGGAAGGGGGAGATGGAGGGGGGAGATGGAGAGAGAGAGAGAGAGAGAGAGAGAGAGAGAAGAAGAGAGAAGAGAGAGAGAGAGAGAGAGAAAGAAAGAAAGAAAGAAAGAGAAAGAAAGAAAGAAAGATAAGAAAGAAAAGAAAGAAAGAAAGAAAGAAAGAAAAGAAAGAAAGAAAGAAAGAAAGAAAAGAAAAGAGAATGTAGAGAGAGAGAATGAGAGAGAAGAGAAGAGAGAGAGATGAGAGAGAGAGAGAGAGAGATGAGAGAGAAGAGAGAGAGAGAGAGAGAGAGAGAGAGAGAGGAGAGAGAGAGAGAGAGAGAGAGAGAGAGAGAGAGAGAGAGAGAGAGAGAGAGAGAGAAGAGAGAGAGAGAGAGAGAGACAGAGAGACAGACAGAGAAGAATAGGCAGCGGCAGGAATCGTTGATCTTTAATCCCGAGAGTGCTCGTGGATAAAGGAAAAAAAATGACTGTCCTATTCTGTTTCATTGATGCTTTTGGCGATTCCTATGATTTTCGCTATTTCTCGGAATGTCCTGCGTCGTAGTCATAAAGCATGGAGGCGGCGTTGCGTTGACCTGACCTCACCTGACGTATCGTTTGTGGATTGCAGAGAAGGAACTGGCTCATGATGGCGCTTGAGGATTGAGAGAGAGAGGGAGAAAGGGGATAGAGAGGGGGGGATAGAGAGAGGGGATGAGAGAATAGATAGATAGAGAGAGAGGGAGAGGAGAGAGGGAGAGAAAGAGGAGAGGAGAGGGAGAGGGAGAGGAGAGGGAGAGGGAGAGGGAAAGAAAGAGAGAGAGAGGAGAGAGAGAGAAGAGAGAGGAGAGAGAGAGAGAGAAGAGAGAGAGAGAGAGAGAGAGAGAGAGAGAAGAGAGAGGAAGAGAGAGAAAGAGAGAGAGATAGAGATAGAGATAGATAGATAGATAGAAGATAGAAAGGAGGAGATGGGGAGAAGAGATAGGATAGAGAGATGGGGAGAGATAGATAGAGAGAGAGAGAGGGAGATGGGGAGGAAGAGATAGATAGATAGATAGATAGAGAGAGAAGAGAGGGAAAGAGGCAAGACAGACAGACAGACAGATAAAGAAACCAAGGAATATGAATAAAAGCTCTTAGCTTCAAAGACACTGCCAAAGTGGCCCAGAAACGCGCAGAGCCAGACGGGGGCAGGAGCCAGCGAGCGCCGCAGGGCTGACAGACAGCAATATCACTCACTGCCGAAAGGGTGAATCGTACCCGGGGTTTTGTGACGTCATCAATCTCCTTTCTTGGACCCTTTGAAATATTGGAACAGTGATTGGATCTGGTCTTTTAAAAGTTATGTCGACAATATTCCTCCGGGATAGCTCCTTCCCTCCGCAACGATTTCATTTTGCAGGACAGGCTAAAAATTTGAAACGCTGCCATAAACTGAACGTAAAACTTCCATAATACTAACGCGGTTTAATAGCAATATCGACAATATGTTTGGGCTTTTGTTGCCATATTGCCGCCGTTAAAGGACACACAAATCAGGAAGGAAGCGAAATAAACATGTCGAATTATTTTACTCTCGAACACGCCACAAAACAGTTTATAAAACCAGTCTCGTGGCACAGTAAGATACAGTTCGACAGGTACCGTGCCATCAAACTCATTAACTGCAGTGCCACTAATGATCAACTATTGTAATATTCCCCTTCTTCCTCCTCCTCCTTCACAGTCCTTCTTCCTATTCCTCCTACTCCTCTTTCACCGTCACCATCCTCTTCCTCTTTCCTCCTCCCTCATCGTCCTCTCCCTTCTCCTCCTCCTACACCTCCTCTTCCTCCTCCTTCTCCTTCCCTTTCTCCTCCTCCTCTTCCCCCTTCTCTTTCTCCTCCTCCGCCTTGTCCCCCAGACTCCCTTTCTTGCCCCCCCCCTGTCATCACCATCCTCGGGTTCCTTCCTTCCTCGCATCTCCCTTATCTCGAGAGCGCGAAGCCGCATGTCCGGCTTGAGTACTCGCGGGGGTCGGGGTCTCTCGTCCATCACACAAGGGGCTTTCGACGCACACGCACGCACGCGCCACACACACACACACACACACACACACACACACACACACACACACACACACACACACACACACACACACACACACAACACACACACACACACACACTCCACACTCACACACTCACACACACGTACACATAAATGGGCGTGCTCGATACACGCGCATATCTATGTACATATGTAAATATATAAAAAATAGGGGTTCTGTGTTTCTTTGTCTGTCCACTAAAAGAGTGAAAAAACGACGCTATATTTATCTATGCAGGCATTCAGATGTGTGTCAGTATGTATATATATATGTGTGTGTGTGTGTGTGTGTGTGTGTGTGTGTGTGTGTGTGTGTGTGTGTGTGTGTGTGTGTGTGTGTGTGTGTGTGTGTGTGTGCGTGCGTACGTGCGGTGTGTGTGTGTGTGCGTGTGCGCGCGTTGTGTGTGTTTGGTTTCTGCGTATATGCATTCCATGTTCGTGCTTTCGTACGTCTTAACCCTTTTCATTAAGAGTAAACAAAGCGTTCCATCCGAGCCACGACGAACAGCACGCCCTCACCCACCTCGTCGCCTGGAGGATCCTGGAAGTCAAGAGGAAAAGCGATTAGGAGCAAAATTGAGGCAAAACTCGCGGTGAGGGTCAGACGGAAGGGGATGCCGATTATGAATTTATGTATGAAATAAGAAGAAAAAAAAAAACTTTGGAAAACTAATTATTCGTGACAGCTGCTCTCGTTGCGTCACCGGCCGGGTCGCTCCGGAGGCATGAATACTTATTCCAATTTTTTATTCCTAATTTCGTTTACTCGGCTTTCAAAATCGCCGAAAATAAAGTAAAAAAAAAAGGTCACCACGCAATGCATTAATTCACTGGATTAGTACCACCTAACATACGTCATAAAATCATTGCACAGCCTGAAGATTCACGTTCACTTAAAAAGCTGTCATACATTTTGAAAGTAAATATACGTTCACTTAAAAAGAGACACTTTGCATATCTAACGCAATAATTAACACGTTCAACGCAAACCATAAATCTGAGTTAGCAATGCGTCGTAAAACCACCCGCTGCGTGCTTACCCTCGTCAAGCCGTCTGATCCGCACCGACCTAGCGTGTCCAACTCATCACTATGTATAGCAGGAAGATTTGCCATAAACAAGCTAATACCTGGTGGGGGTGACTGCGCTAAATTACCTCGAAATGACTTTCATCTTTGCGAGGAGAACCCAAAATAGAATGCTCTGGGACGGGGGGGGAGGGGGTAGTCTGTCTTGTGTTGGGGACATGCTGCGCCGTGGAGGGATCGGGTGGCTGGTTTTATGGAAAGGTGAAGGAAAATTGACTTCGGAAATCTCAAGTCGCTGCTGGTCAAGGACATCAGTGCTCTTAGCAAAGAAGCGGAGATTAGTACGTACTACTTTTTATCGTGCGATTAAATAGGAGTGTATTCTTGTTTGAAGGATATTTCTTACTAATACAATTACATACATGATTGACATTCTGCCTTAAGATTTACTTCCAGTTTTGAGATTATATGAGTATTAAAACGAATTAAAAAAACGATTAATTTCATACATCCAGACTTTTGATTTTTTTTTACTATCACGTTTTTCGATGCATTGACACCGTGAAGACCCTTTTCATTCATACCTTTTCTACATTTGTCTCAATGAACACAGTTCCATTTTATCAGTGTTCAGTGTACTATGTAAAAAAAAAATGACGTTAGCTAATGTTTGTTTTGATAACGTCTTACGTACTGTAGGGATATACGCCCGAATTTCCTGTTTATTGCTAAATATAGTGCCTTTCTGTGGACCACCAGAGCAGTCATCAAGGGCCACCAATCACCCAAGTAGGGTCGTCTGAGGCTGTGGGGCGAGTACCAGTCCGGCAGTAATCGTTACCATGATAATAGGAGGATTGCCATTCTGGTTACTGCGAGTTGCGGATATTACTTGTGTTGCAGATATGTCACTCCTGCCATTACTGTTTTCACGACCGTTGCCATTTCTGCAAAGCAAGTCTTATCTATATAAAAAGAGGCATCATTACCCTATGACATACGACCAGGGCTCTCTCAACGACAAGGACGCTTGGTCAATGGCCAATTTTTCTTCTGCCTGACGTCCATAGATCAGCAGAATAGCAACCTTGTTTTTTATCAGACCATGAATGTTTTAGCACTGATTGGTCTCGACGCCATTGCATTAGATACTCCCTTTTTGGTCTTCTTCAAATAAAAAAGGAAAGTTACTCTAGCCCTTCCATTTTCTTTCACTCTTCCCACTTTGATTTTGATAGCCTCTTCTCCTTCCGGTTACGGGGGCGTGGAGGCATTTCCCTCGCTGCGTTTTATGTGGGGAGGTGGGCGGTGAACTGCCGTAAACCCCCCCACCCCCCCTACCCCATGATGCCCGGATCCACGAGGACCTCCCCCCCACCCCCGACCATGGCGTTTTGAAGCACTCAGCCGGGATGAACGCTGTTGCACTTTCGCGGGATCTAAGGCTCCTGGATGAGGCGGATGAGGATGGACAAATGTTCCTGGATGAGGTGGATGAGGATGGACAAATGCTCCTGGATGACGTGGATGAGGTGGATGAGGATAGACAAGTGCTCCTGGATGATGAGGCGACAGGGGGCTCAGTATTAAGATGCAGAGACGACCCGCGAACTGGACGGGACCGGCAGAGGGGAAACAGGGAATAGGAAGGTGGCCGGAGGGGTATAGAGGGGGGGCGTGGCGGGTGGGGAGGATGGGCTGGGGATAGAGGGGGAGGAAGTAGAGGGGGTGGAGGGCGTGGACGGGGGGGTGGGGGAGATAGAGGGGGGGCGTGGACAGGGGGAGTGGGCTGGGGGAAGAAGATAGAGGGGGGGGGAAGTGGACGGGGGGGTAGGAGGGGAGCTTCAGGGAGAGGATAGAGGGGGTGGAGGCGTGGACCGGGGGGGAGGGGCTTCAGGGGGAGGGAGAATGATATGCTTTGAGACGGCGACGACGTCTGGGGAACCTAAATTCTTGGTCGTTGTTAGGGAGGGAATCACGCCGGGATATTATGTCTGTAAAATGTCTTGAAGGGTAATTACAGGGTAAAGAGGAGAGGAGATTAGATATCATTTTTTTGCATATATATATATATATATATATATATATATATATATATATATATATATATATATATATATATATATATGTTTGTGTGTGTGAGTGTTTTGAGAGAGAGAGGGAGAGAGAGGAAGAGAGAGAGGAGGGAGAGAGAGAGAGAGAGAGGGGAGAGAGAGAGGAGGGAGAGAGGGAGAGGAGAGAGAGAGAGGAGAGAGAGAGAGAGAGGGGAGGGTAAGGGAGAGGGAGAGGGAGAGGGAGGGAGAGGAGAGGGAGAGGGAGAGGGAGAGGGGAGAGAGAGAGAGGGAGAGGAGAGAGAGAGAGAGAGAGAGAAGACGAGAGAGAGAGAGAAGGAGAGATAGAGAGAGAGAGAGAGAGAGAGAGAGAGAGAGAGAGAAGAGAGAGAGAGAGAGGAGAGAGAGAGAGAGAGAGAGAGAGAGAGAGAGAGAGAGAGAGAGAGAGAGAGAGAGAGAGACAGACAGAGGACAGCAGACACAACACTGCAGATATCTAGCAATCTGCACAACCAGATAAAAAATGTGTAAAAAGTTTGTGTAAAAAAAAAAAAAAAAAAAAAAATTCAGAGCGTTCTGTAGCCCCACTCGTCACCCCGCGCCATCGGCAAATTGGAGTAGGATGACCTGCTCCCTCTTGTCTGCTTTCCTAGGTATTGTTACACTGTGCACACACACAAGCACACAAGCACACATATACACGCACACAAGCACACACACACACACATACACGCTCACAAGCACACACACACACACACACATACACAAGCACATATATTAATTGTGTGTATATATATATATGTAGATATATATAAATATATATATTATATATATATATATATATATATATATATATATATATATATATATATATATCATAATATACTCATACATACATGCATATGCACTCATCTGTGGTCTTTGCAGATGTGAGTACATACTATAAACACAAAATTCTGGCTAATTCCCGCACAGACAAACTCGTCCTATTCACAGCTTCAGTTCCGCCGACATGAGCTTTCTGACAGCTGCCGTTCTGCACATACACGCGAGAGAGTATGAATGATCAATTCACTTGGTGCCAAACATACTGAAAATCATCCTATTCATTGGTCTTGTGTTTTTTTTGTTTTTTTTTTGTTCAGGAGATTGAGGGAATGAACGTAAAATGTAAAAAAAAAAAAAAAAAAAAAAAAAAAAAAAAAAAAAAAAAAAAAAAAAATTAATAATAATAATAATAATAATAATAATAATAAATAAATAAAACACTATAAACGAAGAAACATGCTTTAATGTTTTGAAATAGATCGCTATAAACAGCAGGAGGGAAATTCTTTGCATACATGATGGATTAGTGCAGTTCCACACTAGGGACTGGCGAATCGGTTAATGGGTCATGCGCGGTTAGCAAGGAAGTCGCTCTGAACGAGTCCCATTAACCTGCTTGGTTAGATTCCGCTGTGGAATTCACCAATTATTTCACGGTGAATGCAATTGTTTCTAATTTGGGAAGAAAGAAAAAAAAAAACACAATATATAAATAGCAGGCAATTGAGTCATGCAATTAGTATACAGAGCATGACGCTGAATTCGTTATAAGATAAGCAGGAAAAATATTCTTCGGACTACTTCGAGGAATCGTACAGCATATCTCCATTACTTTAAAAGACGGTCAAGTGATGAGACGCATTTTATGGCGAATCAATCCTTCGCTTAATAAGGAGAACAAGATAAGGGTCATCTCGCTACCTCATTTATGCCAAATACCTCCATACGTCTTGGAGAAATTTAATCAGGGGGAATTGGCAGCGTTCGCATAGCAGCGCCGAGTCGACCGCCCTGCCGACAGTATCGTCACGAGGTACAAGGAACACGCACGTATAACTCTGAATTGCAGATTCCAACCCGACGGAAGTGTGTGGCAAACACGCCGTTTCTCTCCGTAATGCTAAACGCTTCGGAACTGGCTGGTAAAGGCAATGGATCTGCACTAGTGACTATTGATCTTGCGCAACAGTCGAAAACTTACGACTGTTATTCATGCACTCCGTCGGACCGAATGCAAACAACATGCTACTGAATATTCATGGGAGCTATGCGTTGTACATAGACATTGGAACCTAATGTAGTATTACCGGTACTGAAACTGAGGCAGGTATGAGTCGAATAATAATAGATAGGAAATAGGCAGAGGGACGTATGAATAAATAAGGATGTATAGATAGATGGACAGATAGATAGATATAGATAGATATGAATGATGTATCTAAGACAGACAGATTAGATCATTGATTGTTAAAAGAGATTTAGAGAGAGAAGGAGAGTTAAGAGAAGAGAGAGAGGGAGAGAGTAGGCAGAGGGAGAGGAGAGAGAGCAGAGAGAGAGGAGAGAGAGAGAGAGAGAGAGAGAGAGAGAGAGAGAGAGAGAGAGAGAGAGAGAGAGAGAGAGAGAGAGAGAGAGAGAGAGAGAGAGAGAGAGAGAGAGAGAGAAAGAAAAAAGAAAAAAGAAAAACATGAAGGGAAATAAGAAGGCAGACGCAGCGGGGGAAGGTAAAGAACGAGGAGGCAGAGAAGAAGCCATGAAGAGGTTACGAATAAAAAGAAAAAGAAAGAAAGAAAGAAAAAAAAGAAAACCAGCAACGTCGACACAAGCAACACCCTAAGCATCCTTTTCTTTACATATTCCCGCCTCGTTTCGGTCGGCCTTCAGACACCCCCACCCTCCCCCTCACCCCCTCCCACACACAAACAAACAAACGACACACAAACACGCAGACACAAGCCCAGCCCACTCACCCCATCCTCCGTACTTCCTCCTCAGCTCCTCGGTGCAATAGTGCCATTCATAATAGTCTCCCCTCACCCCGTTCACCCGTTCTCCCGCTGGGCCACCTGCTGCCCCTTCCTGTCTACTCGATGACAAGATGAATATATCTTGAGGTGTTTAAATATAAGCAGTGAGTGAGGGAGGGGCGACGCGAGAGGACGAGGTGATGTATCGTGTGAGGTGAAATGAGGGGCACGGAGCGAAGAGGGAGTGAGAGGAGGAGGAGGGGGAGGAGGAGGAAGAGGAAGAGGAAGAGCGAAGAGGAGAGGGAGGAGGAGGAGGAGGAGGAGGAGAGGAAGGAGAGGAAGAGGAGATAGGGGAGAAGGAAAAGAGAAAGGTTATTTTGATCGGGGGAAAGTAAGGGAGAGGGAGAGAGGGAGAGGGAAAGGGAAAGGGGAGGGAGAGGGAGAGGGAGAGGGAGAGGAGAGGGGAGAGGGAGAGGGAGAGGGAGAGGGGAGGGAGTGGGAATAGGGAGAGGGAGAAGGGAGAGGGAGAGGGAGAGGGAGAGGGAGAGGAGAGGAGAGGGGAGAGGGAGAGAGAGAGAGAGAGAGAGAGAGAGAGAGAGAGAGAGAGAGAGAGAGAGAGAGAGAGAGAGAGAGAGAGAGAGAGAGAGAGAGAGAGAGAGAGAGAGAGAAGAGAGAGAGAGAGAGAGAAGAGAGAGGAGAGAGAAAAGAGAGAGAGGAGAAAGCGAGAAAGAGAGAGAGAGAAAGAGAGAGAGAAAGAAAGAGAGAGAGGAAAGAGAGAGAGAGAGAAAGAGAGAGAGAGAGAGAGAGAGAGAAGAAGAGAGAGAGAGAGAAGAGAGAGAGAGAGAGAGAGAGAAGAGAGAGAGAGAGAGAGAGAGAGAGAGAGAGAGAGAGAGAGAGAGAGAGAGAGAGAGAGAGAGAGAGAGAGAGAGAGAGAGAGAGAGAGAGAAGAGAAAGAGAAGAGAGAGAGAGAGAGAGAAAAAGAGAGAGAGAGAGATACGAAGAAGAAGAAGAAAGGTTATTTAGATCGGGGAAAAGTAAGGGAGAAGGAGATTTGGGGAGTAAATGTCGGGAGACGCGAGGAATGGGGAGAGGTGTGAATAGATAGAAGATGAAAAGATCGAAGAGGTGTCAGTATCGAAGGGGAGGAAGGAGAGGTGGCGAAAGAAAAGGGGAAGAGAGAAGGGAAGAAGAAAAGGAGAGAAAAGGAAAAGAGAGAAGAAAGAAGAGGTGACGAAAGGAGAAAAGGGAGGAGAAGAGAAAGGGGAAGGAGAGGTGGGAAAGGAGAGAAAAGGAGAAGAGAGAAGAGGGAAGGAGAGGTGGCGAAAGGAGAGAAAGGGAAGGAGAGGTGGCGAAGGAGAGAGAGGGAAGGAGAGCTGGCGAAAGGAGAGAAAGGGAAGAGAAGGGAGAAGAGGGAAGGAGAGGTGGCGAAAGGAGAGAAAGGGATGCAGAGGTGGCGAAAGGAGAGAAAGGGAAGGAGAAGAGAGAAGAGGAAAGATGAGGGGA